CCCCAGCCAAAAACTGCAAAAAAAAAAAGATAGAGCTGCCCCCCCCCGTTCCCCCCCCCGTGACTGCTGTGGAAAGGCGTCTTGAAGCTGTCTTCTGACAGCACATATGGTATGATCCCGCATGTGGGACCAAAACAGAGTTGTATGTATATGAATGAAATATGTATGTCCATACCCTTCTTCCCAGGATCTGGGACTATGTCATGACAAGGCAAAAGGGAATTCAGGCTGCAGAGGGAATTAGTTTGCTAATCAGCTGACCTTAAAATCAGGAGATTATCCTAGATTAGCCAGTGAGCCCAAAGTAATCACAAGGGTCCTTATAAGTGGATGAAGAGGGCAGGAGGGACGAGCCTGAGGGATGTGTGACCAAGAAGGAATGGTGAGAGAGAGATGTGAAGGGTAGACTCGGCTTCCCCTTTGCAGCCTTTAAAGATGAAGGAAGAGGCCACGAGCCAAGGAACTTGAGCAATCACCAAAAGGCAAGGATGTGGGTCCCACTGAGAGCCTCTAGAGGACTCAGCCCTGCCACTGCCTTGGTTTTAGTCTGGAGCTGCCTGTGTTAAACTTGTAGCCTGCAAAACTATAAGGTAATAAATTTGTGTCATTTATGCAGCTGTGGTAATTTGTTACAGCTGCCACAGGAAACAAATACAGACAGGCAGCTGCTGCCTTAATCACTGGGGTAACCCCTGGGGTGGGAGCTGGCAGGAGGGGAGTGGGCATGTATTCATTTCCAAACTTTTAAATTGTTTGAATTATTTATGGAAATGTAAACATGTTTTTACATAATTAAGAAACTGTGTAAAGGGGCGGCCCTGTGGCTCAAAGGAGTGGGGCGCTGGCCTTATGTGCCAGAGGTGGTGGGTTCAAACCCAGCCCTGGCCAAAAAAAAAAAAGAAAGAAAGAAAGAAACTGTGTAAAGGTCAATACAAGAGGGAAGGGGGAGGGCCAGAGGAGGAATTCTGTGTTTCCTGTAACTGCAGCAGGCCAGCTTAGGGAGACAGCAAGGATGTCTGTCCCACCTGCCCTCTGTGTATCCTCCCACTTAGGACAAAAAAACATGGCTTTGGGGCAGCACCTGTGGCTTAGTGGGTAGGGCGCCGGTCCCATATACCAAGGATGGCAGGTTCAAACGTGGTCCCAGCCAAACTGCAACAAAGAAATAGCCGGGCATTGTGGCGGGTGCCTGTAGTCCCAGCTACTTGGGTGGCTGAGGCAAAAGAACTGCCTAAGCCCGTGAGTTGGAGGTTGCTGTGAGCAGTGTGATACCATGGCACTCTATCAAGGGCAATAAAGTGAGACTCTGTCTCTACCAAAAAAAAAACCAAAAAAAAACCTCACTTGGTTTAAAAAAAAAACCATGGCTTTGGAGTCCCACACACTGGGTCCTAGTCCTTGCTGCACCTTGGAGTGGATTTGAACAAGCCCCTGCCTTTTTTGAGCTCAGTCATAGCATCTGTAAGTCCCTGAAGTGAGCACCTGTGCTAAGCCTGGAAAGGGAACACGGATTACTGCTCCTCAAAGGGCCTGAGCAGGCAGGCAGACCCAGCAGCTAATGGGGTACAGGTGCTGACATTAGGAGATGGGAACCACCTCATGAAGAGGGGCTCCTAGAAGGCCAGGTAGGTGCTGCTCTCTGACCTACCTTCCTGAGTGGCCCAAGGTTTCCTGATATTGGCTGCTGCCTCTGACATGGACATCAAAGTAGATAAAGAAATGCCTGTGGCCCCCACTGTAATAGGCTGGGAAGGCACTGAAGTCCATTAGGTAAAGGCTGAGAGCCCCTGACAGCTCTCCTGCAGTGGCAACCACCCCTCCCCAAAGAGAGGCACCACCTAGCCTAAGGTACCAGCTGGGCAGTCTCTCTCAGCTGTCACCTCTCCAGGTCCTGAGTTTCCAGCAGCCTCTTCCTGTGCCTGAGGGAGACACAGATGACTCAGCTCCTCTTCTCTGATGACCTTTGCATCTGGGGTCACTCCACCCCAGTCTTCTTGCTCTGCTTCCCAATTAAACCCTTCTCACCTATATCCCCCCACCCCCATTTCCCCAGCTGCCCCCACCTGTCCCAACCTAACAGAGAAATGACAGCCTTTGGAGTACCCCATGGGGCCTCTGGGGACCAGGAAGCCTGGATTCCAGACACAGGCCTGCCTTCGGCTCAAATGCCACACCCATCTCTGGGTCTCAATCTCCCCATGCACAAGCCGAGAGTAAAATGGAGAAGGAGGGAGCCCCTCAAGGCTCAGGTGGCTGTGAGGGGCCCACCTAGTCTCACCCCTCAGAAAGCAACCCTGGAACCTGCCCAGAGCCAGCACAGCTACCAGCCCCTGGCTGGGGCCTCTGAGGTCTTCTCCCTGCCACAGGCTGTGGTGTTTAGCCCAGCCCCCTCCTCTGCCTCGGGGGAGGCTTTGACAGTACTGCCCTCCTTCACCTGCTTCCAGCATCAGGCTCTGCCCCCACCCCCACCCCAGTCTCCTAGCTTGCTTGCACACACCCTGCTCAACTCAGTGCCCACCTCTCAGGAAGGAAGCCTTCCTGACAGCCCTTCTTGACCTCCCCCTGGAAGCTTCTAGAAGGCTCCTCTTACCCAGCACAGGTCCCAGCATTATTTTCTCCAACAGTGTGCTGACTACAGATAGCTGATTGTCACATTTTTAGGAATTTTCTGAATCAGTTGTTATTTACAGCTGTTATTAAAAATTAAATTTATATACCTTAAATTGATTACATTAAAAATAATGTAATACATTCTGGTAGGCCAAGACAGAAAGATCACTTGTGCTCAGGAAAAAAACAAAAAACAAAAAAGACCCTCAAGGTAACAGACACTCAAAATTTATCATTTCCTAATTTTTTCAGTCCATTTTATTATATGCACATTTGAGGTTATTCATGTCTATTGTATCTGTCTGGTGGAAATACTATAGACTGGTGTGACATCTCTTCCCAACTCCATTTGTTCAGGGACTTCATGCTGATAGCTGAGTTTTACACAATAGAAACTGGTAAATGTTACAAATCAGGGCTTGATTTTTTGTTCTGTTGATTGCCGAGACTTAAGTAAGTGATGAAAAATGCTAGTAATGCAGACTAAACTTAAAAGTGTGATATCTATGACCATTATGTTGTAAATAGAACAAAAAAATTGCAGAAGTATCCTTAATAGAATATTCTCAAATATTCTCAATAGAAAACTATTATTTGATTCAACAAAGAAGTTGCTCACAATATTGACCAAGTTCCAACATACGTATATCTTCTTACCTTACTCATTTAGCATAAACAAAAATGTCAACCAGAATACATGTTAGAGCTATGTCTGTTTCTTAATTAGTTGGAGATACAAGAGTATGGAAAAATCACTGAAAGCATTCTGAGAAAGATAGATTTGCTATGTGGAATTCACAATAAAAAGTATTATATTTTTATTTGTAAAATGTATACTAAGCATCCTTTATACCAGTAAAACTTATAATAAATTTATTTAAGTATATGTGTACACACACACACAAAAATTTTTTTTGTGCAGAGCTAGTTGTCCCAGTTGTGACAACCAAGTATTACCAGACATAGTCAAATGTTGCCAAGGGGGCAAAAATCACCCTGTTGAGAACGGCTGTCCTAGGCAGATGGTGTACTCCCTGAGGGCCACTGGAGGCTCCTATGTCCCGCAGACCTCCTTGCTGGGGCCTTGGCCTGGCAGGCATGAGCAGAAATTCCCTGTGTTTGGGGAGTGACTCCCGGGGCCACCAGCTTCCCACATCCCCAGGGTGGTGCAGGGAAAAGGGTCCAAGTGCAGAGTGTCACACGGGAACTCACAGGCTCTGCAGTCAGCTGGACCCATGCTCAAATCCCACCTCTGCCATTTGCCGGTGGGGTGACCTCAGGAAAGTCACATAACCTCTCAGAGCCCAGTGGCTTTGTCTGTAAAATGGGCACAGTGACCACGCCCACCAGCTGTGGGGAGATTAAATAAAATGACCCATGTCACATGTCTCACCCAGGTTCCAACACATGGGAAGGGCACTCAAAAACTTAGCTGTTTCCTGATAACAGGGCAATCAGAGACCAGCCCCCATACCCAACAAAATAGTTCTTCCATTTTACCTGTGAGATGTAGCCTGGGGGGATGTGGCCATCCTCCTGGGTTCTAGGTGCGCTCTGAGGAGCCTCCCCACGGAGACGCCAGGCCTCCAGCTGTGCCCGAAGAGACTGAACCTATGGGAGTGGGGGTCCAGGTCAGTAGGAGCCTGGAAGCAGGGAGGAGGACAAGGCTTGGCATGTCAGAGATGCACAGTAAACAGAGATGCACAGTAAGCAGTCCCTCCCTTCTCTTCCCCTTTTCCCTTCTCTGTGGCTGCTGAAGGCAGAACTAAGAAGAAAAAAAACAAAGCCAAACACACCACCAAGATCCAGGGAAAAAGATTCCGATCAAAAGGAGTCTGCGGCGACAGATAGTGGACTGGGAGTCAGTGCTCCACCACTGCAGGTGTGCGAGACAAATGCCAGGTATGAGAGCAGGGATCGGAGGGGTGCTGGTGGGCAAGGCGGTGCCCAGAGAGGCCAGCTGTGATGCCACTTACCTCCTTCTCCAGTGCCTCGTGGCTGTCGCTCGAGGGCCCCCGGCGCTCCCCTCGGCTTTGGTTGAGCAGGGCAGTGAGGGGCACCCGTTTGTTCTCCCTCAGGGGCAGCTTCTCTAGCTCCTGCCACTTCTTCTCAATCTCTTCGCTGAGCCGGCTCTGCTGGTCCTCGGTGAGGGGGGCTCCCAGGCCTCGGCGTGGCCCCTCACCAGCTGGCACTTCAGGGGCCCGACTGTCTGTGGCCTCAAACCACTTGCGTCGCTCCTCAGAGCGCTGGGCCAGGTCCCGCTCCAGCTCCTCCTGCTTGGCTGGGCGGTCAGGAGCGCGGGCTGGAGTGCGGGCCCGCTGCGGGGAGCCCTGGGTCAGTGGGGAGAGCTCCACATAGTCCAAGGACTGCCGTTGCCCATCTGCCTTCCGAAGGCCACCCCGGCCAATGACCTCAGAGCACGTCCGCTGCTCCCCAGGCTTCAAGGAGCCCTTCTGGGTGCTGTAGCTGTGCAGTGTGTTCTCCTTATTACAGTCCGAGAGCCTAGGACACCAGCAGAGTCACGTCAGGTGGGACCTGGCTGATCAGCTCCACAATGGGTACTTCTGGAGTATCAGCTGGGTGCCAGGGGCCGAGGACAGACCCCAGGAAAGGAAGCAGCCCAACCTAGAGGTTGAGAACTTAAGCTTCATCGCTAGCAGACCCTGGGACATCCTGGCTCCACTGACGGCCAGCAGAGTGACCCAGATTATCTGGCTTCCCCTGCCTTCTCTTGAGCCTCAGTTATCTCATCTGTAACATGGGGCAACACCTCACAGGAAGGATGTGAGGACTAGGTGGGTGAACACGGAAAGCAACTAGGAGGCCCTTTGCAAAGGTGATCAATGGATTAAAAACATAACAGACAGCTCAGTGCCTATGGCTCAGTGGTTAGGGTGCCGGCCACATGCACCAGGGCTGGTGGGTTTGAACCTGGCCAGGCCTACTAAACAACAATGACAACAACAACAATAGCTGGGTTTTGTGGTGGGTGCCTATAGTCCCAGCTACTTGGGAGGCTGAGGCAAGAGAATCACTTAAGCCCAAGAGTTTGAGGTTGCTGTGAGCTGTGATGCCACGACACTCTACCGAGGGTGACATAGTGAGACTCTGTCTCAAAATAAACAAACAAACAAACAGACAATGCCAGGGCTTCACAAGGCTCACAGTAGAATAGAGGAGATGCCCATGGTCACTGTGAATGAGGTGAAGACAGGGACCTCTGAGAGGACAGAACACGTTGCTGAGACTGAACAACTATGGCAGTTCTCCTCTCCTCCCACCGCAATTGCTGGGTACATGGTCACCCAGCTGAAAACTATACTTCCCAGCACCTGCTGTAGCTACATGTGGCCATGTGACTACATTCCACCCATCAGGCATGACAGGCTGCTCCCTGTAAAGGGCTGGGACTTCATGAGAACCTAAGCAGTTCCCTCTGGCCACAGTGTGAGCTGAGGCCACAGAGCTGCCTAGACTGTACACTTCTGGACTGTTCCAGAGAGAAAAATGAGTATCTACCTTGCTTCAGCCAGCTTCTTTGTTAAAGCACCAGAGCTGACATACTAAATAACAGTCCAACCGTGCAGTACTTCGGGGCTTACAAAGGGCTCTGGGTACATCCTCACACAGGCACAGACATGACACACCAATGTGACAAAAGAGGAACCTAAAACCCAGGCAGGGAAGCCACTGGCCTAAGGCTGAACAGCAGGGTGCGGCCAGGTTAGGGCCTCCTATTCACCCACCTCAATACCACGGTCTGTTCCTGGTGTCCAGCAGCTGCAAATCCCAGGTCCCCATGGGCAGCTGTTTATACTTATGGGGGTTCTGTCACCAGGTAACTCAGCCCTCCTGCCCCTCTATCCCTGGCAACCTCCAGAGGAAGTGAGCTTCCTACCCCAAGAGGGATGTACACTGAGCCAGAAAACCTAGGGAGCCCTCTCCCTGAACACCAGCTCAGCCATGGCCCCCATGGCAGGGAGACAGATACTACATCTGATCTTAGCCAAAAGGCCAAGAAGCAATATATAGTTTAGAGACAGAACAGCACCTAAGCAAGGCTTCTAATGCACAAGTATCTTTCCCAAAAAGCCAAAGCCCCTTCACTCTCTTCCAAGATATGGCGGATTAAAGAGATGGCAGATCAAACCTCAAATCCTCATGTATTTCTGCATGAACACCAAGAATGCTCATTGTCCTCTTCCCATTTTGTTGATAGAGAAACTGAGGCCCAGAAGGTACAACCACATGGCCCTCAGGAGAGTGCACAGAATCCCACCCAGGATGCAAAAGTAACTGTCTCCCCCAAGGCCCTGGTCCAGATCAGCACATACTTGGTGACATCTGGGGCTGAAGCTGGACGCACAGTCTTCCTCAGAGCCTCAATCCAGTTCCGTCGGATGCCTGAGGTCATGGCCGACAAGGTATAGACAGCATCCTTGGTCTGTAAGTCCAGCCCAGAGTAGGTTGCCATATGGCCAGCCCCATGGCTCCCTCCCCACTGTGGATCATGCTTTTCAGGACAGTATCTAAGGCAGGGGTCCTCAAACTTTTTAAACAGGGGGCCAGTTGATTGTCCCTCAGACTGTTGGAGGGCTGGACTGCGGGCCCTGGGATGAGTCAGCTGCTAAGCAGGACAGGCAGCGGTAGCAAAAACACTCGGTGGACTGGATAAATGTTCTAGGCAGATTTCATGTGGCCCGCGGGCCGTAGTTTGAGGACACCTGATCTATAGTCTTGAGTCTGGAGTAGGCAGAGGGCACAAGACCTCCCTTCCAGCAGCCTAGGGAAAACCCTGCTGGCTCCAAGATCTCCCCAGATAAGTTAAGTTGTTGACACTAGAGCTTCTGACTGGCTCTGAGCTCAGGGCCTCTGATAAACGGGCAACAGGAAGCCAGTCTCAATGGTAAGCCACGTTCAGCACCAAAACCTCCTCTGGGGCCTGCAGATATACTGAACCCCCCACCCCCCATACCCCTGCATGCAGCCTCACATGGATCTGAAAGCCATAGTTGCGCTGCACCGCGTACTCAGTGACATCCGTGCAGGAACGCAGGTCGATCTCGCCATCCAGCTCATCTGCCTGGAGCAGAAGCACCCACCCTGGTCCACATGGGCCCCAGGGAGACCCACTTTGTTGACCCCAGCCAGGCCATCCCAGCATCTTTTAGGGTATATCAGCCCCTGATGGGGAGAGGATGCCCTCCCACTGGTTGTCTCACCTCCTCAGCGGTGGAGTCTCTGTAATATTTGAGGCTTGAATCCGTCAGCACAAACCAATGCTTCTTCCACTGTGAAGCAGAGGTGCTGATAAGTGAGGGGGAGGGAGGGTAGGATGAAAAAGCCCACGTGTGCGCTTCTGCAGGTGTCCTGCATGCTGCCAGGCTAACCATTCTGCACACAGCAGGGCTGGGGCAGCAGCTTAGGGTCAGAAACCCAGTCTAAGGCCTGGTCCCTCCATTTCCTCTCTGAGCCTCAGGGGCAGCTTTTCCTCCATAAGTACACCCCCCTTTCCTTCTTGGAACCCTTTTCTGACTTGTTGATGCTCCCAGACCCCTCCTGAAGATTCCAAGCCTCCTCCGGTAGACCCCTCAAGTAAAGACCAGGGAAGGGTTGTGACCTACATAAGGTCACTTGGCTAGCAGTCAGGGACTAAGTGAAGCCAGAGTACTTCAAGTCTTTGTCCATATGCCCCACCCCACTCCTACACCCCCTAACTGCCATAGTGGTTGAGGACGAAGGTCTCCCAGAGAGCAGGACTGCATGGTGTCTGTGTACTGGCATGGTCTGTTTCTTGATCTGTGTACTAGTTACCCACATATGTAGCACATGAGAAAATGCATTAATCTGTACACTTATGACCTGTGGTTTGGGATTGGGATGGCAGGAAAGGGGTGGGGTGTCACCAGAAGAACAGCCTGATATCAGCCAAACTCACTCCACCTCTGGGATTCTGGTCACCCCATGGGAATGCTGGTCGAGTCTGCCCACTAACTGGGTCAGTGAATGTCACCCAGTCTCCTGCCCTCTTAGGGTTCCCCACATCATCAAGCCCTGTCCATGATGTTTGTTGCTTCAAGTAGTTTTCTTTCCTCAAGAAGATAATATGATCTCGAAAGTGTGCAGGGATGACACTTTCTACTTCTTCCTATATTCCCTCCCCTGAGAAACAGGGTTTTAGCAGAGACCTGAATTTCATCCACTCCCTAACTACTGTGTGCCTTTAGACAAGTATCTCCACTTCTCTGAGCTTCAGTCTTCTGACCTATAAAGCAGGGCTACTAAGAAGTCTCTAAAGCTTCTGCTGAGGTTAGAAGTGCCTAATCTTCCCTTGTACTTCTTTCATGGCACTTGGCATAGGGATGGACACCAGGTTTGGGTCTTTGTTCTAGGAGGCTGACCCTCTTAGAACCATTCTGCTCAAGTGGACTGGGTGCTGCCAGGGACCTCACTTGCCTCTCTGAAAAGCAGGGCAGGGGTTCTGTGCCAAGTCATTTCTTTGGCCCTTCCAAACCTGGCCTATGACTTTCTAGGATGAGAGATGGATGGAGCTCCGAGTTCTAGGCCTGGGTCTGCCCAAGGTGCTGCTAAGCCTAGAAGATGTTGACATTCTCATGGGCCTGTCTCCTGTCTTTGCAACCAGGGGTGAGCTGGCTGAACTCCCAAGTCCCCTCCAGCTTGGACATTCCAAAATCCTGTGATAGAGGATGAATAACAGCCAGTTCTGGGTGGGGCCCATAATCCCTCTGCCCTCTGGGGACCTGGGTGGAGAGGCCAGGAAGGGGTCACTGGCAGGGTTCCAGGCCTTGTGTGAGCCTGGAGAGCAGCCACCAGGGGACGGGTGGGCAGCCAGCGGGTACGGAAGGCTGTGAGCTGGAGGGAATAAAACATGTGGGCTGGAAACACAATGAGATTCCCTTTGGCTCTGAGCCCTCCGCGGCATGCGGGCTGCATGCAGACCTGAACCACAGGCACACGCACGGCTGGGGTGGGGAGACCTCCCCTCCCAGACAGGGTGGGCAAGGAGCCAGCTCCAGCCTGGCCACAGAAAGGGCAGAAACAGCCACTGTCCCTACCAGTTCCAAGAGCCGATACGTGGGCTCAGCTAAGGCACCAGCCACATACACCTAAGGTAGTGGGTTCAAATCCAGCCCGGGCCCACCAAACAACAATGATGGCTGCAACCAAAAAAATAGCCAGGCGCTGTGGTGGGTGCCTGTGGTCCCAGCTACTTGGGAGGCTGAAGCAGGAGACTCCCTTGAGCCCAGGAGTTAGAGATTGCTATGAGTGATGCCACAGCACTCTACCCAGGGGGACTGCCTGAGACTCTGTCTCAAAAAAAAAAAAAAGAGCAGATACGTCAAGGGAAGGGAAGGTCAGTAAATGCCAGGGGGGTGTGGGACTCTTTCCATGCTTGATCTCTGTGACCTTGCCATCTATTCTGTTAATAATCATTACTGTCTATTATGCCCATGTCATAGATATGGCCACTGAGACCTAGAAGAGGCTCTGACTCAACCAGCACCTTCTTCACGAGCCCCAGCCTTGTGGCCAAATGCTGAAAATCTATGTGTGACTCAGACCAGCTGATCCCCGTGATCCCTTCTGCCTAGGCCCTCCATTCCCAGCCAGTGTTATCCTGATATAGAAGGGCCAAGAGACCCTTAATGAGAGCCTCACTAAGGGGTGGGACACAGGTGTGAGGGGGTAGGTGGCCTCCACTCCTTCCCACTACGAACTGCTCCAGGAGGCAGAGAGATGACTAGCAGCCTCTGCTCCCAGGGTTCTCACCACAGTCCCCACCTTAGACCCACCCCTCCTCCCAGAGGCTGGGATCTCTAGAAAGCTGGACAGGCCAAGGACCCCTTAGCCTCTTGGGCTATCCCCAAGGGCCCTATAGCAGCACAGTCTCCTCCCCTTTCCACTTCAGCTCTCCTACCTCTCCAGGCTCGTCCAAGATCGACATCCATCCCTTCTTGAAGTTGAGCAGATCGGGCTATGGGGAAATGAGGAGGCAGATGAGTCAGGCCCAGCAGAAGCCAGCTGGAGCTGGTGACAAAGGCATGCTGTACCTATCCTCACCCAAGTCCCGCAAGACTGAGTTTGTAGGAAGCCAGTCCCACTCCTCAAATCCAAGCAGCTTGCTAGATACCGAGGCAGCCTTGGCCCCTTTCCCTAACACCTGGCATTCTTCAGGAACCACGAGGCTGGCGCCAGGTGGCTGGCACTTACACCATGGATGGGATGTCCAAGCTCCCTCCCACCAGCCCACCCCCTTATCCAAGAGTGAGAGAGAGAGGGCTGAGAGAACTCTGCCTGTAAAGAGACCCTGAGAAAAGTTCAGAGAACAGCCTGGACCAGTAGGGCTGAGTGAACCATTCAGCTCCTCTCTCTGATGTGGCCCAGGCAGCTATAAGGAATGTGCCTGCCCTAACCTACTGACCTTGTAGTCCAACCAGTCCCGCCCTTCCTTTGTCTCCTGGAGACCCCAGAAGATATAGCCAGAGCCAGGCTGGGTCAGAAACATTTGCCCACCCCCCCTACCCCCGCAGATCTCTTTTGGAAGGCCAGGGTGATGGCATCTCAGTTCTGGCAAGCCCTACCTTCCAGGTGCTCCCCAGGGGAATACAGCCCTGGGGCCTGGGGGCACCCAGCTGCAGCATGTGCCAGGCATCCCCACCCCAGTCCTAGATGAAAAACCTATTCATCCTGGTATTGCTCTGACCATGCCCATCTGGTGGATGCCAGCTCCTAGACCCTCCCTGCCCACTAAGGAGACCTCTCTCATTTAGATCCTGGTCCTTCTGTGGTATCAGCTCCTGCTCAATGGCAGGGAAAATAGCAGGGCGGGCCAGCCTAACAGGCAAGGAAGAGGCAGCCACCTGTTGCCATGGCTCTGAGCCCACCTATCAGCTCCTACATCGCAGCCTCACCAGGCCAAGGTGTCTGGTTGCGTGGAGGGAGCCGATGGTGTGGCTCAGTGGGGTGGACATCGACAGCAGCAGCTGGAAACCAGAGCCAGCTGACCTGGCCACCTCTCCTGACCTGCCCTCCTCCTAGAGAGCCCTTTCTCAGGTGGAAGAAGTGAACCGAGAGGGACTTGAGGCTGCTGTGGATCCAGAACTATCCATAGTCATGGTCAGGGAACATCAGCAGGCTGGCAGCCTCTCTCTGCCTTCCTAAGGGAGGGGACACAGGCTCTGCTCAGAGCTGGGAAATCCTGGGGCTGCATTTATTCTGTTTGCTCTCTATTTTGCTACTGAAGACAGAAGCCACCCAAAATGGTCCCAAGCTAAAGACTGGTGACCATACCTGGCTCCACTTCCCCTCAGGCTGGGACACCCACAGCTCCCAGGTCTGGCATGGGACCTAGCACAACAGGCCTCAGAGAAAACCTGCTTAATAAAAAATATCTACCCTTTTCTACCTCTATGATCTAAATTCCTGCATTTTATAGACAGTCCCCTCCCCCCAGCTTCCTGGGCCCATGGAGCTGACATCACTGGGCTGACCCAAGTGAGAGCCCCTGAAAGGGCTGCTGAGCAGACAACGTAGCCAGTTGGACTGGGTCATGGCTGGGAGAGCAGCCACAGCTCCGAGAGGCTGGGCAAGGGCTCCCCAACCGGAATGACAGGCTGGGACCCCGGGGACTGCCCGGGAAGCAGAGTCGCTGTGACCTTCCTAAATCACACCCCCTTCCTTTCTGAGCCGTGCTACCTAACAGAGCAAATGATGAGGGTGTATCCCCCAAACTTCCTGAGAGAACTGAATGTGCCTGTACACAGAAGCAGCATGGTGACCCTCCAGAGGCCAGTACAGACATACCACACACCAGGTCAGACACAACATGGCACAGCGACATCGAGAGAGGAGGCTGCCACTGGGGTTTTAAACCCGTTTGGCAAGGAAAACTGTCCCCAGGGTGGAAAAGTATGATACCCTAAGTCTCCCCTGAATGTACTCTCACACAGGGCTCCTCTGGAACCATCTTTCCACTGGCTGCTGGAGGCTCAGTTTGTCCTCCTTCCTTTCAGGAGCGCTGACAGGCTCTCATAGCCCAGCCCCCACCTTGGCCAAGGTCAGCCCCGCCTCCTGCCTGAGCCACAGCCCCCAGCAAGCACACTCTGCCAGGGGGACTCACTCACAAGGCCTAGCATCACATCCTGCCTAAAATCTCCAGGGATGGGTCCAGGTGGCTTCAAAACAAAGTCCGGCTGCCTTAAGATGGCACAAAAGCTGTAACACACCCTTCCACTCTGGCCTCCCCTTTCTGAGGGCCCCCTTTTATACCACCAGGAAGCTGGGGAGGCCTTGCAGATCCCCAGCATCCCAGGAAGCAGGCCCTTCACACTTGCTGTGTCCTCTATCTGAAACACTGGCTTCCTCCTCCTCCACTGACCAGGCCAGCCCCTTCTTGAGTCCAGCTCAATTGCCACCTCAGGTCCCTTTTCCAGGGCATGCCACACACTGCACCACAAGCCGCCTCTGTGCTGCCTTCCCACAGCCCCTTTGCGAAGCCTCTGCTGCATCTCTGATTATCTTGAAGCCATTTACTTATTCCTCCCAGGTTAGACTACACGCAATGCTAAGTCCAGGACACACCTGTTCTCCCCCTAAGACCCAGCACAGACGGGGACTCAGGGAGTTTTTTCAGAAAAA